AGCTGAGTTAGTGTGAGCTAGTTCGCAGTTTTTTGGCCTCTGGCTCACACATTTTTGCCTTAGTTCAGGGAAGAAGGGCACCAGAGCAAACTAATGTATGCAGTAGCCAAATCGCTTGCTCACAACTTTAATGCCAGTAGCTCACAAAGTAGAATTTTTGCTTATAAGGCTCAACAGCTTAGAGGGAACATTGCAGTGCCTGCCCTTCTATAGTAACAGCGAGTAAGGCAGGAGAAGGGTGGCTGTAGGCCAAAGGCCCTCTAAGCAGATAACACTCTTTGCCGAAAAGGAAGATTTCCAAGGTTCCAGGCAGACGGCAGGCAAAACATGTTGTCTTTCCTACAGCTGAACAAGGCCTAATATCAGAAATGAAAATGACCGGGGCCCAACACAAACTAAGGCAAGCCCTGAAGGCCCTTCGGCCAGCTCTCAGAAGCATGCAGAAAGGTTGTGGCTTCTCGGCAGGTGTGGAAAGGTTATCTTGTGCCCCCTGAAAAGTGTTCTCTTCTTTACCACTCTAGTTTTAAAAGATTAATTTCCCCTGAAAAGCGTGCCTCTATCTATCTAGTACTCCTCATATGCCTATCGCCTTAAACAAAAGTTAGAACCAAAAATTATTTTTAGAAGCCCTTACCCAATATTATTTCTCTTATATTTGATTATTGTGCCTATGAATTTTGCTTTAATTCAAGCCCTAGCTTTCATCGATAATTTGCCTACTTCCACTCTCAGTGCTATGGCCGAGAAAACATCTAGCAGTAGTCAATGAACACACTCTATTATATCTGCCCTCCAAAACTGCCAAGGGAAGAATGTTCATTCTTGCCAAAGTAAAAGCTCTTCTTAGTTTTCGGACTGTCAACTGATAAAAATATTTCAGCACTTGCATCGAGAGGGTGATCCCCAAAAGGAGTGTCGAACATACCCTGCGTACCCTAATAGATATACTTGTAATATCCAGCTTCCTTACACACTTTTTTATTTGTCTTAAAATGTCTTCTGTTTCTGTATTCTTAATCATATCACTTGTTCTTCCTAGGCATTTCATTTTCTTTTCCAGTAGTTGATCCCATTGGCTATAATGTTTATCTGCCTGGATAAGCCCAAGCAGAGTAGGTCCTCCCTCAGATTTTAAAATCTTTACTTTGAAGACAAATGCTTGCTTTAATTCAAGCCCTATCTTCCATTGATAATTTGCCTAGTTCCGCTCTCAGTGCTATGCCCAAGACACATCTAGGAGTAGCCAATAAGTGTCAGAAAAAGTTATACTGGATGGAATCCATTTTTTCAGACACGGCCTGAACCCAAATTTCCGCTCTGTACAGGAATTGGTTTTAGAACCTTAGCATTAAGTAAAGGCCGAGGGGACAAATTCTCCTCCTGATAAGTAGAAGTATTTTACAACTGTCTTCCCTACTCCCAAGGCTGTGTTCCTTGCTAGATCCAGGTGTATTTTCCATGTAAGAGATGCTTCAAAGTGGACTCCCAGATACTTAAATGGATTGACCTGTTCCATAGGTTGGCCTGCTATGTCCCATTTGAAGATCTCCCCCTTTTTCCTTTTGGTGAATACTATGACCTTGGATTTCACCATGTTGATGGACAAGCCCTCATGATAACAGTAAAGCCTGAAATTTTTTATCAGCTTGCAGAAGCCCTCTATTGATCTAGACATCACTGTATCATAAGCATGCAGAAGTATTGGAACTTTGTGCTCGGATAAATGCGGAAGACGACATGCTTCCTTCAAGAGACAGGGTCTGAAGTCATTTATATATAAATTGAACAACAGGGGTGCAAGTAAACATCCCTGCTTGATGCCTTTATCTAGGATAAACAGCTCTGATAGCTGTCCTAACTTCCCGCGTCTAACCCAGGTGGAAGGGTGGTTATAGAGCTGTTGAATTAAGTAAAGGAGATGTGATTCAGTGCCATATTTCTTTACCTTTTACCATAGCTGGGGTCTAGAGATTGTATCAAATGCTGATTTTAGGTCCATGAAGGCAGTTGTCAACATGCTTTCTCCAGAACTCATGTATTTATCAACCAAGATCTGGAGGGCAAGGTACTTGCTCCTTTTCTAAAACCAGCCTGTTCATTTCAGAAAATGTTATTTCCTTCAACCCAATATCCCAACTTTTCAAGAAGTATTGCAGTGTAATGTTTCCCTATAGTGGACAGTAAACTTACTGGACAGTAATATATGAGGTCAGTCAGGTCCCTTTTACAGATTGGAACAATTATTGCTTATGTCAGACTTTGGCATACTTCCTGTCTTATTTCAGTGAAAAAACGGCCAAAATCTGTGCCCAACAAGCTGGGTCAATTTTGAATAGTTCTGCTGGGTGCTTTCCCCTTTTTTGTTATTTAATTAAAGTCCTGACCTCACTGACTGTTACCGGGAACCATTCCTTCACACCAGATGGCAACATTAGCCTACCTATTTCTATTTCCATTTGTGAAAATAAAGGTAAAAAAAAGCTTCCCAAACAGTGGCTGGAATATGAGCCGTGTGTTTAATCCTTTTGCAATTGTGATCCAGATATTTCCCCCCATTTTTTGTTTTTATGACCCAGAGCAGACTTCCTCAATCTCTTTTCTGGGCCTCAGGCTTCTGAAATTTCATTTTTTTAAATATCATTTTTCCAATTTCAACATATTTGGCAAAATCTCTGCTCTGTTTAAGTTCTTAAACTGTCTACATAGGCACATGACTGATCTTTTGAGTACCTTACAGTAAGAATCGTACCAATTATTTCTGTCGGTTGTACCCTGTCCTGTGGGCTCTGCTGTCACCAAGGAAGGCTTTAAAAAGTCAAATAAATCCATTAAAAACCCATACTCTCAATTATTTGGGAACCTGTATATCTGGTTTTTATCAAATCCATTTGTGTTTTCCCTTGCTTCAACTGCTTCACACCACCTCAATGAACAAGGTGTTATGTGTCTGGGTTAGTGCTAAGTTTGTCACCTGAGAAACAACATCTAGATGTAATAATTTGTACAGAGTAATGATCACCTCCCCCCCAAAGACCAACCCCCCCCCCCCCAAAAAAATCCTTCACTTTCAGGGATTCCACTCTTCTGAGTAAGTCAGCAGAAGCAACAAAATAGTCTATTACACTCGTCCCTAGATGATTTATACAGGTTAAAATTGCCTTTTCCATCAAACTGTGTGCATCCATTAATTTTCTTATCTTTAGATATTCTGTAACTCACAATTGGAAAGTTCTTTATCTTTTATGGCTTTTCAAAGAAAGGTCCTCGTTTGTCTCCCCAACTCTAGCATTAAAATCTCTGGCCATAAGTACTATGGCTGCAGGATGAATCCTGGCCAAAGATTCCAGGTAGTCCTCTAACTGGGTCCAGCACTGGGATATTTTAAATTTATGGATATATATGGAGATGTGGATATATATGTCTATATATATCCACATGGATATATATGGAGATAGATATTCACCAGAATGACAGAAAACTCCATAAACTCCAGTAATAAAGCCATTGCGTAGGGAGGGCTATCAGGCAACTCAGTAATCCTGATTTAGAGGATTACTGAGATCAGACAGATCATCCCCCCAGAGCACCTTCCACTTTCCCCAGTATCTGCTGCAGATAAAAAATACAGGGTGAAGCCAGAGACATAAACTTTACTCTTCACCCATGTTTCCTGAAGTAGTATTAGGTCAAGTCTACTCAGGCATTCTTTAACATCGCTTGACCTCATCCTAGCAACCCACCCAGTCATGTTCCAGAATAATATTCTCAGCCAGTCCTTTTTCTTTTCCCTTTAGAGACTGAATCCCCAGCTGAACCATCCAGAAACCTGTGACTGAAAGGACTCAAGGGCAGACCTGAGGGGCTGTTTGAAGGCATCTCGACTATGCAGGACAGTTCATCTGGTTTACGGTCAGCTTGTGTTTTAATGTCATATAGAGTAGTAGTTTATGTGGGGAGAGGCTCCCGAAGCTACCCTGGAAATTTGGAGCCTCTCCCTCAAACCCCCTCCCCCCCAGAGCCACTAACAGCACCGTGGGGAAAAAAGTAACTTTTTCCCCACCATAGAGAACAATGGAGGGGATGGTGGCAACCTGTTTGGGGGCTCGTAGAATTTGACCCCCCTGGTCCAATGTTCTTGAAACTTGGTGGGTACCTTTGGGAGACGCTCCAGCAGCTATCCTGAGAGTTTGAAGCATCTCCCTCAAACCCCCTCCCCTCCAGCCCCCAGAATATATCCTATGTTTTTGCCATTGACTTCAATGGCCCATAGGATATAATGGGGCTGAATTGCCACCAAATTTCGGCGGTAATTCAGTGACAAGCCAATTCAGATCAGAGAATCTGAATCGGCCCGCAGCAGCCCGAAAGGGGCCTGAATGGGCCATTTTCGGGGGTGCATTCGGTTCAGACGAACCGAATGCACATCCCTAGTACTAATGTTGGTAAAAATGAAGTCGAACTCTATTCCCGCTCAGGAAACCTGGAATTCTTTCCACAAATTTTAAGTCAATGGAAGATGGATGTTTATGTAGCAGATAAGACAGGTGTTCTCTAACTGCTCATTTATTCATCCAGCTTATCATTTGACCATTATAGGGCAGGATGTTCAGTACTATTTTGTTACTATCAAGGATCAAAGGGTGAGCAAGGAGATCCAAATTTGATACAGGGTTACCCTCCCCCCATCATTTTCTTATATCAGTCACCCATCCTCCTCATCCTTACCCTTAGATTGATAAATCAGCCCTTCTCCTTGTTTACTTAACTCTTGCTTTCTCATCGGCATAGTAGATGTCACTGTTCCTTTCGTTTCTAAATTTCTACATCCCTTGCACCCCATGCTGTCCTTACTCCCCTTTACCAGAAAAACTTCAATACGTTTTGATAATGTGTCTAATTTCTCAAAGATTTTCCTTAGAGTGTTAAATATTAAAAGCGTCTGATTTGTCAGCACTTTCAGGTCTATTTGTTGTTTTTTCGATTTTTTTCTTTTATTCCAGGAGTTCATCTATAATACCAGTATGAGTAGGGGAAGAAATATTCAAGGGACAGGGACACACACACACACACACACACACACACACACACACACGACCTTGTCTTTAGGAGAAAGAGATCTAATAGATTGTGGCAAAAAAATTCTCCATCTTGTTCTGCTTAGAAGGGGCAAATCCTCACCGAGGGGGTGTACCCTTTCCTTTCTCATTTTCATATGTGATGCTACTCTACAAGACAGACAGCTGAAATATATTTAAAATGAAATCAATAAAATATCTTTAATATCTAGCTAATTTCCCACTTAGTTTATTATTCTAAAACACACATTGGTTTTCAATAGTTAAAATGCCTAAGACCAAGCCCTTTGCCGCTTGTCTCTCATTAGTACTCACTCGGAGCTTTTAGATAACCTAAACTTGCTTAACCTAACACTGTTTGAATTAAAACCTAGCAGAACAGTAAAAACCAGTGGAGCCCCAACCAGAATGGCCTTAAAAGGGGTTGTAAGGGTTAAGGCAGGAGCTGCGGTGGCTCAAGTGGTTAAGACGCTGAACTGCAGGCTGTGGAAGGTCGGTAGTTCAGCAGTTTGAGACCCGAGTTTGCCGCATGACGGAGTGAGCTCCCGTCTCTAGTTCCAGCTCCTGCCAACCTAGCAGTTCGAAAGCAAGAAATTGCAAGTAGATAAATAGGTACCACTTCAGTGGGAAGGTAACAGCGTTCTGTGCACCTCGGTGTTTAGTCATGCCGGCCACATGACCATGGAAACATCTTCGGACTGCGCTGGCTCTTCGGCTTTGAAACGGAGATGAGCACCGCAACCCTAGAGTCGGACTCGACTGGCTTTCGAGCAAGGGAACCTTTACCATTTTAAGGGTTAAGGCAATTATGGACCATAAAAAAAGAAAACAGACACAAGAAAAAGCGGTAAATCCTTCCCAGTTTCCCCCCACCTCTCCTTTGCTTCCCCTTTCCTCCAGGTGACTCAAGCTTCACTTAACTCTACCACACCTTCACCCTGCCACATCCTGTCATAACCTACCAAAGAGAAAGTTAACAGAGGACAGAATATTTCTATAATCGATTCTAGAACAGAAACAGTCTAAATGACAAGACCCCCAGTAGCGAACAGTGGCTGCTGCAGCAATTTAATTGGTTAGGATTAAAGGAGAAAGAAAAACCTCCTCCAAACTGTTTGTAATTACGGAGAATGCCTTCGATAAGACTGACAAGGGAACTTCTGACCAACGCTCCATCTAGTCTAGCCCGCTGCTTCACACAGAGGCCAACCCAATGCTCCAAGAAGGCCTACCAAAGCAGGGCACGGAGTCCAAGCCTCCCTCTGTTGCTGACTTCCAGCAATGGTTTCCAAATGTTTGCCTCTGAAACCTCCATGTTCACTTTGTCATCATGGTCAAGAGCTATCACATGAATCTGCCTTATCCTGAATCAGACCCTTGGGCCATCAAGGTCAGTACTATCTAGTTGGACTGGAAGCAGCTCTCCATGGTCTCAGGTTGAGGTCTTTTACATTGCCTCCCTGATCCTTGCAGGAGACTGAACCAAATTGGCTGAAACTGGCCTCCCCCCCTCTGATGGATTGCAGGAGACTGAACCTGGGACCCTGCGCATGCCAAGCAGATGCTCTACCCCTGAGCGATGCCCCCCCCCATCAAGGGACCAGTCCTCCACAGATGTCCATAGCCCCCTTTCAAACCCACCTAAACTAACGGTGATCCACCACATCCCACAGCAGTGAATCCCGCAAGCTGATCTCTCTTTCAATGACAAGTGGCTTCCTTTTGTCTGCCCCTTAGTTTGGAAGATGGAGCGCCGCAGCACCCCCTTAAGCTTGCCATTTTTTATTTCCTTTAGTAAAAAGACACAGGGCACAGTAGATGCTCAGTCTGTTCTTCTCTTCAGTGGGCATCTCCCATTACCTCTTGAGCTTCTGGCCAGGCACAGTACCCAAACGCAAAGGGTACATGAGAGCATACAGAGAATAAATTCACCAAGGCTGAGCTGCCATTTATTTAAACATCCTGTTAGAATGATTGGACTCCAGTGTTTGAATAACACTGTAGGGCCTTCCCTCTCACCTTCCGCTGAGCTTGAAGGAGTTCTTTGTCCACTGGGGAAACAAAAGGGGAACCCCCATCATGCTCCATAAAGTAGAATTTTACTTTCTCCAGGGATACCTTTTCATCTAACTTCAGTCTGAACAGGAACAAAAAGAAAACAACAGATTAGGGGGGGAGGAGCCCTCTGAACCAATTTCCCTTAAAGGGGCATCTACAGGGGGCTGCAGCCAATGGACATCCTAGTTGTCATCACCTGCCTTTGGTGGAACTTCCTAACACACCAATGAGAAGTGTGCGAGCACCTTGTGGCTTTCTACGACAAGGGGGCAAAAAAAAAAAGGCCAACAATATCAATGTTTGGTACCAAAATAAACTTCGTACATCCTAGAAGTTATATTGGGATTACTCTATACGGGGGAAAGGAATGTGAGTCACCTACCTTGCAATGCCTGGTCCAGCCATGATCCTCAACATGGGCTCCAGATCTTCTGCGTAACGGCACATGGGGCCCGTGCACAGGAAATTTACCCGCACACCCTGAGCAATGGGGAACTGGCCATCGTTAGGCACGACACCTAGACAGAGAGGCACAGAGATGATTTTTCTGCAACAAAGCACACCGCTTTGAACTCAACAACGTTTGGGTCCTGTGGCACCTTTAAGACCAACAAAGTTTCATTCTAAATATAAGCTTCCAATTCAATTCAATTCTTTGTTATGGCACCGAGCCAGCAAATCAGTAACATCGTACAAAACCAATATAAGCAATTTGTTAAAATACAAATATACAAACATAAGCTTTTTTGTGCATGCACACTTCTTGATACTGGACTCAAACTTTGTTCTGTTGCTTCAGACCAACATGTCTACCCACCTGAATCTACCCTTTGAACACAGTTTGACTGGCATTCCCTGGCAAGGAAGAACATGAAAACAACAGTATAAATATTTACTGCACAGTGCACCAGATAAAGAGTAAAACCAGCATACATTCATGAAAAATAAAAATGTCATATACAGGAAGTGACTGGAGTTGCATGTACACTGCTTACAAGATGTCTAGTATTTTCCCGTATTTCCATGATGTTTTGTGCTTTCATGCCCAATAAAGGTTTTGTGTGTGTGCTTACAAGATGTCAACGATGGTTTCACATAAAAATATATAACCACTAAGCTAGATGTGTTTCAACCCTAATGGCCTTCTTCAGAATATTGGCTCAGAGATATTATCCTTGATGAGTGTTGGCTCCTTAATATTCATGGGTCTGTTTTAGTCTTTATTTGGAGCCTTACTCTAGAGTGAAGTATAACATCTTTTACCTTTTATGTGTGTCTAACATGATTTAGACCAGGGGTGTCAAACATGTGGCCTGGGGGCCGGATTAGGCCCCCGGAGGGCTTCTATCCTTCTATGAGGCCTGCAGTGGAACTGGTTGTCTTCTGCTTCTTCTTCCAGTTCTGCTGCTGCTGCGTCATCGTAGGTTTGCAGCTTACAGATACACACCTGAACAGCATACTCAAGATTGCAACAGCACAGACATTTTGATGCAATAATTCAGAGCAAGAGGTGTCAGTTATCAGACACTGTTAAATAAACAAAATATTGCAAGAGTGCTAATGTTTTAAGCATGTTTTTAGTTTAAGTTTAAAAAAACCTTTGTGTTTGTGTCCTTTATAAAGTTTATATCTCCGTTACCTGGCATTACATTTTATGACACACATGGCCTGGCCCAGCAAGGTCTCATTTATGTCAGATCCGGCCCTCATAACAAATGAGTTCGACACCCCTGGTTTAGACTACTGAAGAAGGCCCTCAGGGCTGAAATGCGTCTGGCTTAGTGGTTATATATTTTTATGTGAAACCGCTGTTGGCATCTTGTAATCACTGTACATGCAATTCTAATAGGTTGCTGTATATGATAGCTTTATTTTTCATGAATGTATGCTGTTTTTAATCTTTATCTGGTGCACTGTGCAATTAATATTTATATTATTTCTTTCATGTTCTTGCTACTCAACCTTTTCAGCACCTAACTTGATCTTCAAGTTGGGTTTGTTTCCCTTTCATCATATCCCCATTCTCTGGCAAGGAGTCAGAGCGTTGTTCTTGAGAGAAAGAGAATAACTGGACAGGGATTCCCATGCTCATAAAAAAAAAGTTTAGTACTATATTTCAGGACTTCTTTGGATACAGCTGCAAGTTTAACTCGTGTTCAGCTTTTTAGCTACAAAAAATGCCACTGGTACGAAAGGTTTACTTAACGAAGAGGGCAGGTCCTCCACAAAAACTTCTGGGCTCTTCTGAACTGTGAGACTGAGTATCAGAGAACCCCAAACACTAGCGTCTTGAGGTCTGGAGTAAATTTTGAGATGCTGTGCGGTATAACAGATTAGAACGCTGGACTCCGAACCAGGAGTTCTGCATTCAAATCCATGTTCAGCCAGGAAGTATGCTGGGTGATCTTGGGCCAGTCACTCTTTGTCCAGACGTAACGACAAGTACCCAAAACTAAGGAATTGGAGATTGGCTGTGAGGCTTTTGCGAGCTATTTTGCAGATAAAGTCTTGTTGCTCCGCCGTGACCCTCCCGCCACAGTTGATACAGTAGATGAACTCGAGGCTCCATGTGCGTCTTCTTGTCAAGTTCTGGATTATTTCAGTCCACTCAGCCTAGAGGAGGTCGACAAATTACTCTTAACTGTTTGCCCTACCACCTGCAGCCTTGATCCGTGTCCATCGTGGCTAATTAAAGCCGGCTGCGACATGCTGCCCCATCTTCACTCCAGGGCTTCTGAGATTACACTAAGCATTGCTTACACATTTTGTACAGCTAATTTTGCTTGAAGGAGGCAGTGGTACACCCTCTCTTTAAAAAAAGACATCTCTGGACTGGGCTGAATTGGCTAGCTATCGGCTGGTGTCCAATTTGCCATATTTGGGCAAATTAATTGAGAGGGTGGTAGTGATTCAGTTGCAGGGTTTTTTGGATGACACCTCCGCATTAGATCCCTTCCAGTTCAGCTTCCAACCAGGTCATCTGGATCAGGGCGGCTTGGTGTTGTTGTTGTTGTTGGACCTGTTGGCAGCATTCAACACGGTTGACTACCAACTACTGACCCACTGCTCCGCCGACACTGGGACTCAAGGGTTTGCCTTGCAGTGGCTTACCTCGTTTCTTCAGGGTCGGGGACAAAGGGTGGCCATTGGGGAACAACTGTCCCAAAGGCACCCGCTAATTTGCGGAGTGCCTCAAGGAGCGGTGCTTTCCCCGATGTTATTTAACATCTACATGCGCCCGCTTGCCCAGAGGCATGGGCTAGGGTGTCACCAATACGCGGATGACACCCAGCTCTATCTGCTGTTGGACAGCCAGTCTGGCTGTAACCCAGAAGATCTGGACCTGGCACTGAAAGCTGTGGCTGGTTGGCTCAGACTGAGTCGACTGAAATTGAATCCGACAAAGACGGAGGTCCTGTGCCTGAGTTGGAGTGGCCCGAGGGTAGGGATCCCACTCCCTACCTTCAATGGGGCGCCATTGGTGCCAGCGCCAGAGGTTAGGAGTTTGGGAGTGCTCCTGGATGCCTCCTTAACAATGGAAGCCCAGGTAGCAGCCACTGCAAAGTCAGCCTTTTATCATCTTCGGTTGATCAAGCAGTTGGTTCCCTTCTTGAACACAATGATCTGGCAACAGTGATCCATGAAATGGTCACCTCGAGATTGGATTACTGTAATGTAAAGGTCCAGAGCAGCGGTGGCTCAAGTGGTTAAGACGCTGAACTGCAGGCTGTGGGAGGTCGGTAGTTCACCAGTTCGAGACCCGGGTGCCGCATGACGGGGTGAGCTCCCGTCTCTAGTTTCAGCTCCTGCCAACCTAGCAGTTTGAAAGCAAGAAATTGCAAGTAGATAAATAGGTACCACTTCAGTGGGAAGGTAACAGCGTTCCGTGCGCCTTGGTGTTTAGTCATGCCGGCCACATGAGCACAGAAATGTCTTCGGACAGCGCTGGCTCTTCGGCTTTGAAACGGAGATGAGCACCGCAACCCTAGAGTCAGATTTGACTGGCTTTTGAGCAAGGGAACCTTTACCTTTAATACTCTCTACATGGGGCTGCCCTTGTCCCAAATCCGGAAGCTGCAGCTGGTGCAGAATGCGATGGCCAGGCTGCTGTTGGGCCTTCCTATGCGAGAGCACATCTGGCCTGCACTAAAAGCACTGCACTGGCTGTTTACAGCATACCGAATTCAGTTCAAGGAGCTGGTTTAAAGCCTTACACCCCTACATGACCAGAGACCTACATACCTAATGGACCGCCTTTCCCCACATGTTCCCCACAGAGCACTGCGTTCAGGGATGCAAAATCGGTTGGTCCTCCCTGGCCCCAAGGATGCTAGGCTGGCTACAACCAGGGCCAGGGCCTTCTCGATGGTGACTCCATACTGGTGGAATGAGCTCCCGGAAGAGATCAGGGCCCTACTGGACCTTTTACAGTTCCACAGGGCCTGAAAGACGGAGCTCTTCTGCCAGGCTTTTAGTTGAGGCAGCGGGCATACTCCTTTGTATCTGTCTACTGGGAACCCATCCGGCTCCATCACTCCTTGGCAAATAGAAGGGGAAGTCGTGGAAGTGGTGACAGACTTCGCTCCAAAGCAGCCATTTCCTCCAGGACAGGCCTGTAGACAGGATTTTTTTTTTGCTTGTCGGGCATATTTTTTTCTTGTGGGGCAGGTAAAGGTTCCCTTGCTCCAAAGCCAGTCGAATCCGACTCCAGGGTTGCAGTGCTCATCTCCGTTTCCAAGCCGAAGAGCCAGCGCTGTCCGAAGACGTTTCTGTGGTCATGTGGCCAGCATGACTAAACACCAAGGCGCACGGAACGCTGTTACCTTCCCACCGAAGTGGTACCTACTTGCAGTTTCTTGCTTTTGAACTGCTAGGTTGGCAGGAGCTGGAACTAGAGATGGGAGCTCACTCCATCTTGCGTCACCCGGGTCTTGAACTGCTGAACTACTGACCTTCCACAGCCTGCAGTTTTTCCACAGCCTGCAGTTTAGCGTCTTAACCACTTGAGCCACCGCAGCTCCTTATTATAAAATTGTTTTATACCTTTGTGTAAACCGCCCTGAGCCTGCTAATGACCTTGTGAGAACAGAAGCAAGTGTAACCTCACAACTCTTCCCCGACTTCCTTGCTGAAAGGGTACAATGAGGGTCTAACAAACAACCTTTTAAGAAAAATGTCAAGCACTTGAATGAAAGGAAATGGGTCCCGCTGCTTAAGATGAGAGCATAGGGAAGATTCTTTTTCCCTTCAAAGAATGCTCAGTGAGAATGGGCCATTGGGTACCTGTGGTGGGCTTGTGTCCAAAGATGCCGTTGAAGAAAGCAGGCATCCGGATGCTGCCTCCGATATCCGAGCCCACACCAATCACGGAGCCGGCAGCTCCCAAGATGGAGCCTTCTCCCCCTGCAAGAAAGCAACACTCAGATTGACAGAGCAGCACAAGACAGAAGTGGAGCAACTGATATGCACAGGATCTGCTCTGCGAGCTCTCTCACACACATATACCAGGGCACCACCTTCAGGGATGACATCACTCACCACCTTTATTTAACCCTCCTCCCTCCGTTTTGATCCCATGTGGTTTCTGAGGATCTGCTGACCCAGGAATAAAACTGGGGAGGAGGAAGCAGGAGAAGGAAAAATGTTCCACTCCATGAAATCCATGGATGGTGGAATACGTACCAATTTTTTTACTCCAACATGTGTCTTCTTGTGCTTAACTACACTGGTGTGGATCCTACCCCTATCCTACCCCTCCACTGGCCAAACTTTGAAGCCTTCCTCCAGCATGACGAGATGTCCTCCAACTTAAGAGGCTCTTTCTCCAACCTGCCTGGAGGAAGGTACCCCAGAAGATAGCTGGATCCATGCCACTGAGCCCCATTTGCCATACGGTTGCCCACTCATCAAACATGGAGAGATCTTTTTGGATTTCTTTTTTTTGGGGGGGGGTTCACCATCCTGAGTAATTCTGGTATCACTTTCAGACTTGACTCATACGCCACTCGCTCCCCAGATCATTCATGGACAAATTAAGTCGCATCTACCCATGATCTAATACTAAATCTTGTGGGTCCCCACTGCTTATTTCACTTAGTTGTTAACCCTCTCAAAGAACTCCAAAAGGTCAATGAGACAGGACTCTCCTTTGCAGAAGCCGTGGTGATCTTCCCTCAGCAGGTTTTGTTCCTCTGTGGGCTTAACGTTTCTATCTTTAGCAAGTTTCTACTAACTTACACCCAGAACAGACACAAGACAAACTGGCCTGTAATTTGATGGACCCCTTTTGGACCCCTTTTTCAGGGCTGCCGAGAGCCACCACGGGCCCCCGGACAAAGATTCCATCTGGGCCCTCCCCTCTATGACCTTGACCCAAAGCAAATATAACAAAACGAACAAATCACTTGGCTTGTTGTTACCATGAATCTATAGTAATAAAATAATTGGCCTGTCTGTCCATGTTTGTTTATGTATCTGTTTAATTTCCTGCCAACCTAGCAGTTTGAAAGCAAGAAATTGCAAGTAGATAAATAGGTACCACTTCGGTGGGAAGGTAACAGCGTTCCGTGCGCCTTGGTGTTTAGTCATGCCAGCCACATGACCACGGAAATGTCTTCGGACAGCGCTGGTTTTTTCGCCCCCGTTTTCAGTGCTACCGAGATCCACCACGGGCCTCCAGACAAAGATTCCATCTGGGCCCTCCCCTATATGACCTTGACCCAAAGCAAATATCATAACAAAATGAAAAGATCACTTGGCTTGTTGATACCATGAATCTATAGTAATAAAATAATTGGCCTGTCTGTCCATGTTTGTTTATGTATCTGTTTACTTTAATTATATCCCACTTTTCTCCCCAGTGGGGACCCAAAGCGGCTTACATCATTCTCCTCTCCTCTATTTTATCCTCACAACAACCCTATGAGGTAGGTTAGGCAGAGAGTGTGTGACTGGCCGAAAGTCACCCAGCAAGCTTTCATGGCAGAGTGGGGATTCACACCTGGGTTTCCCAGATCCTAGTCAGACACTTTAACCACTACAGCACACTGGCAGGCATAACTCATCAGAGACTAAAGCTAGGAGAGTCAAAACTGGCCACGAGCTTCAGGATGACTGTGGGAGTTCCATGGCCAACACTGAAAGGCATGGGAAGATCCCAGCCTAGGTGAGACAAACCACTCCCACACCATGCTATTTGCAACTGAAGCTGAGGGTCTCTGTGGCAGGCAGGCATAACTCAGAAAACAATGCTACATATCTGAAAACTGGCCACTTACCCCAGAATGATGACAGAAGTTACAGCACCAAAAATGAAGAGAACTGGAACACCCTGAATCAGGTTATCTTCATGATAGGCAACTTGTAATAAGAGAGCTTTGACGCAACTTGTCATGTGTCTCTAAGACCCAGATCCCCAACCTGCCACGGAAGGTTGCTGGGCGACACACTCTCAGCCAGACCTACCTCACAAGGCTGTCGTGAGGATAAAATGGAGGACAGGAGAACAATGCAGCTCTGGGTCCACACAGTGGGGAGAAAGACCGGGTATGGTATTTGTTATGGATCTAATTTTTAATGATATTTTAGAAGATCATGTCATTTGTCATATAGCAAAGTAGCCTTTACAAAGGGCTATTAGATCTTCCACCAGCACGTTAATGATTAACAACCCAGTGCCTGAACTGGGAGTTGTAACTTCTGTTCCACATGTATATCCACTAAAACAGATTAATGTTCCATTATCTTGCATCTAAAGGGTGGAGGAGCTGACATGGAGAAGAAACTTTTTACTACTTTTATTACATCATGGGGAAATATTAACTCCCTCCCTCTTCTGTTCATAATATTAACAAAGGTTTGCCATTATTCTGCTCTTTAAGTACATTCTGTCACCAAGCAGGATAGGGGTGAGAAGGTCTTGAGACCAAGAAGTCCAAGCAGGATAGGGGTGAGACGGTCTTGAGACTAGGAAGTGAAAATAAGGGGGGGGGACATGAAAAAATTGGTTGGGGGTAGATAGAAAGGAATGATAAAAGCATGGAAAAGAGAGAGGGAAATTAAGAAAAAGAGAGGGGAAGTTTGCTTTATCTTGCTGCAACACCCTAACTACCACTTTGCAAGATCTGGCTGAGCTGGGTGCAAGGAAAGGAAGAGAGAAAGGCTAGACTATTATTTAAAAATGACCCCATTTAGCAGGCTGCAGGCTGACAGTGTAGCAGCCATCAGCTGGGGTTGCTTGACTTGCTCCATCGCTGGATCAGTTGATGGGTTTATTATGATCTGTTAGGCAAGTTTGCTCCAGTCTTGGAGAAAGGGAAGTCTAGCCGAGAGTAGAGTGCCTTTTACTGTGCTCAGGCTTCCCTGCACCCCTAGTGGCTGCAGCCAGAACTGCATTAAAAGTAAGTGGGAAGATATTTGGCTGGGCGTAACATGAGGCTGGCTTCGAGGGTGCTCTAACTGACTTGGGCCCCCCTGAATTTTGCCCCCACATCACTCTCTGTTGGTGGCCCTGCCCTTTTTAAAAACCAATGTTCCATTTCCTACTCTCCAGTTCTCTGATAGGGAGACCAGTTATAGAGATGTTACATATACTAGATAGTCAAGCATTTCACATTTGAGTCCTTTAAGAACTTTTCTTGTACACAAAAGCTTCTGGTCTTCACCATCCATCCACTGTGCAGTCTCACCTGCCACATGCATACTTAACTCTCAGAAGGCTTGGTTAAGCCACAGCTCATTCATCCAGTGACTCAAGTATATACTTCTGAAGAGTACCTCCCCACACTCACCTGAACTGCCTCCCACTATGCATTCCAGGTCATACGGGTTGTTGGATCGGCCATAGACGCGGTTGCTCGACTCATACCACATGCACAGTTCGCTGCAGTTGGTCACGCCCAGCGGGATGGCACCAGCTTGCTTTAACCGTGACACTACTGTGGCATCTGTTGTAGAGATGATGTGGCGGCGGTTAACCAGGCCAGAGGTGTTGGGCATCCCTACCATGACAAGGGAAGCAACAAGTAAAATGAGACAGAGCTATCAAGATTACGTCCTGGCTGAGACCCCATGGATACAGAAGACTATGAGTCCAAAGCCCAAGGAAGTAGCTGCCTCCCAAAAGGTAACAGAGTTCTACTCTTCATTCTGTCACCACCTAAAAGTGACATGTGATACAGCAGAGACATATGACAATTCTGTGATCCTGCACAAGGCACAAGCCTTTGTTTCTGATGCTTCTCAGGTGTTTTTATTGTCAGAGAACAGCGTCTGGCCAGTGAGAAGTATGGCAAGCTGCCCACCTTGTTCAAATATTCTTCCTTGTTGAAGCAAAACACACCCACTCTGTTGTGCCAGGCAAAGCAACACGCAGAAGACAAAGGTCAACCTGAAGAGCTGATTTGGCTCATTCTATGCTTTATAAGGCCTTCTCCCTTCGAGCCTTGTCCTTACAAATGGCTTCTCCTTCCCTCCACACACCCCATTAGATTACATTATCTACAGGATTTACATACTACCCTTCTGCAAATGCACTTAAGGTGGTCTGCAAATACTCGACAAGAGAAATACCCAAGGATTCAACAGCAAGTTTCCTTCAGACCACCAGTGGCCTCTTCAGAAGCTGACGGCATGAGCTCTCTGACCTGCATGTACATTGCACAGGTAAAATTAAGAGAATCCTCTGACTATTTCCCATCCATATAGTGCCACAGTTTGTGTATTGTGTGCGTGGACTTTGCAAAGCAGCAAGATTGGGTAACACAAGGCTTGTTTTCTGGTGGTGTCCTGCTCCATCTCCCCCCCCCCCACACACACACCTGAAACTCCCACTCCACAGTATGGTAATGCAGAAACTGTTTGGGGAAGATAACGGCAGGAAAATACATTTTTTAGCCAACCCCCTTCAGCCTCTAGGCTGCAGTGAAAGGTTGAGGCAAGGGAGCTATTACCATTCAGAAATTTGTGCTGCATCTACCGCGCAAGAATTCTCCGTTTCCCTATCACTCCTGCTGTGAATGCAGAGGCCTTTGCATGGGCAAGGTAGAGTCCATATGAGAGTTTTGTGCACACTGTCAGCCATTTGTCCTGCATTTCCCCCCTGTGCCACTAGGGAGCTTTTCAAAAATCAGTAACTGTTGTTCCGGGTTGTCCAGAAAATACATTTCTTGACTAGACTGGTTCATTGTCAGGTTTATGGAGTGAAACTCATTGAATGCCTGTTGGAATGTGTCCAGGGCTTCTTTACCATGTGTCCAAACAATAAAAATATCATCAGAGTATCAGAGGTATAAGAGAGGTATGAGTGGGTGTGAGTTTAGGAAGTGTTGCTCCATGTCAACCATAAAGATGTTAGTACACTGTGCTCCACACTGCAGCCGAAAACAGAGACGATTTCTTGCCTTGCTACACATGCTAATATCATTCAGTTCTCACATCTGTTTGTACACTCTTGTGTTGTGCTGTATGCTAATCTGCTGCTATTCAGTAGCCTTAATCTAATCTTACCTATATTTATTGTTCAATTATTTATGCAACTTGACTCTAATTAGTCCTTCCTGGCAACACCCTCCCCACCGTCTACCTATATGGAATGGGCTGGTGACTTCTGTTTCAATGTATCTGAAGAAGTGTGCATCCACATGAAAGCTTATCCCCACTATAAGCCTTTGTTGGTCTTAAAGGTGCCACCGGACTCAAACTTTGTTCTGCTACTCACCCTGATTTCCGCAATTTCAACAGACCACAAGGTTCATAGTGTAAGAAGTGAATCATAGGTTGAAATTGCAGAAATCAGGGTCAGTGTATTTTTCAGGCATGTTTTCTTAAACAATTCTGTTTTTCATATGTGTTTTTATGGCTAGGCATTTGTGTAAATCTCTTCACAGTTCCACTTACACAGCCGGCAAATTGAAGAAGTCAAAGGAAACGCATCTTCCAAATATCTAGAATGGGCGTCTTTGCAAAGGCTGTTTGGAAAATGTTATGACCATGTTTTCTTAAACAATTCTGTTTTTCATATGTGTTTTTGTGGCTAGGCATTTGTGTAAATCTCTTCACAGTTCCACTTACACAGCCGGCAAATTGAAAAAGTCAAAGGAAACGCATCTTCCAAATATCTAGAATGGGAGTCTTTGCAAAGGCTGTTTGGGAAATGTTATGACTATGTGGACTCCTCCTATCAAGTTATCAAGTTACACTGAGTACATGGACTTTGTCTTATCTTCAAAGGAGGAAACATTGTATCTTATGCCTTATTATAGTTATGCAGTATGCATTAATGTTGTTGTTGTGACACCACCAACTTTATAATTGTTTAACATATTGTTTTGGCAATCTGTGATAGTGTTTTCTACTAGTGGAATTTGAATATTTGGGACTCCTGTGACACTAGTCTTTTTCCCTTGTTTTTTGAGGTTTGTTTTTTGGGCTGAGAGAGCTATGCCTGGCCCAAGATCACCCAGCTAGCTTCAAGCAGAGGAGTGGGGAATCAAACCTGGCTCTTCAGATTAGAGTCTGCCGCTCTTAACCACTACATCAAACTGGCTCTCGCTTAGCAAATAAATTAACCAAAAGCAAACAGGAGGATGCTGGTGTGGCAACTAGCCTCGTACAAACAAGACAGGTGCGAAATAAGATAAGAAGAAAATCAATATGCAGAACATAGGAGAGGAAGTCGGGGGAGGGGGGAACAGTTTAGGATGTAGGAGTCAGAATGCTGGCGTAGGACCTGGGAAGCTTGGGTTCAGATTGCCCTTATGTTACAAAGCTTAGTGGATAACCTGGGACCAGCTGCCCACTCTCAGCCTTACCTACCTCACAGACATTTGCGATGTGACGTTCCTGGAGTGAATCCTTTAATATAAGGGACCTCTCCAGCAATGCTCTCTCTAAGCTGTGGAGTCTTGTGAGCAAAAATTCAACTTTGTGAGTTACTGGCACTAATTTGTGAGCGGGCTACTGCATAAATCAGTTTGCTCTGAAGTCATCCTTCCTGCGCTAAGACAAAAACGTGTGAGCTGGAGGCTAAAACACTCTGAACCAGCTCACACTAACTCGGGTTAGAGGGAAAGCTGCTCTCCAGACAAAATCTCAAGTTTTGTCACCTGCCCATGGGCCCACCCACCAGTGACTGCAGCAG